TATTAGTTTCTTTTATGGCAAATATTGATGAGTAGAATCCATGTAGACAAAAACTCTTTGAGATCTTTGGTTTTTGAGGGTGTACTAAGGACAAAGAAATGTAACCCCTGGCTGAGAAGATCACGTCTAAACTGCCTCTAGCTTGGCATTCAAGGCCCTGCCCTTCACTTGACCTTCACGCATTTATGCTCCAGCAGCATTCAGATCCTGTGGGTCCCCAGATGACACTAGGTTGATTCTCACCTCCCAGCCTTTGTTCATGTGGTTGCTTCTGCTTGTAATGCCCTCACTTCCTTTGTCTCCCTGCCAGGCTTTTAATTTCAGCTCAATCAGCACCTGCTCTGGGAGGCCTTCCCTGAGTGCTCCTCACGGCACCCACCTGCCCCAGGAGGCTGCGTGCCTGAGTCCTGTCCTCTCCCCTCCCATGGGCATGGAGCTTTGCAGGAGCTCCCTCCATGCTGCTGCACTAGGGGTGGGGTGGGGTTGGGGGCTTGGAGGCGGGGTCCCACTCTGGGCACCCCTGAACTGCCTAGCACAGGGCCTGGCATAGTTGGGTGCTCAATAACCTTCCTACTTTTTTGAAAATCCATTTTATTTATTGTATGAACATTAACACAGAAACAAGTCACCCCATCAAATGAAATCTGTCAAGCTGTCACATCCCTGTTTAGTTTCCCCACCCAGTTTCAGATTTGTGCATCATTGTGATACCAGCTAAGTATAGTCCTAAGATCTGTATTTTCACTCAGCTGAAAAACACAGTATTTCCCCATGTTAAAAAAAAAAAAGTAGTGCTAATCTATGGGGTTGATGTAACAAATGACTCTCCTGATTTGAGACCTTTGGCTTTTCCAGTTTGTTGAAGTTTATTCTACTCCCATTAAAAGAGCAAATATTTAAAATAAAAATGTCCATCTGCTGACAAATATATGGTGAAATGTATATACTCTCTCATCATCGTGTAAATAGAAAGATCCGGTTTGGTAAATTCTGTGATGTGTTCTTGGGGTCATAAAATTTTCCAACACATAAAGTAAATAATTCTGATCCTGAGTTGTTATCCTCAAGGAATCATGCAAACATTGGAAAGATCAAGCATTTATTTAACTGGATTAAGCCTTCAAAATTGTAGCCTGCATTAAAGTTTTGCATTCCAGTTTCTGGATGATTTGGGATCCAATCAGGTTTTGTGTTCTTTCTTCCCATATATTCCCTTACGACAGTTGTTCTCTCACCTCTTCCAAGGGTCTTCCTCTTCCTTGATGCCTCCTTCATGGGGTGTCACTATCTCCAGGAAGACCGCACCCCTTTTTGTGGTCTGGGCCAAGTAGGCCAGGAGCCACAGCTGGTCCCAGGGGTGCCAGGCTGACAGCAGGAGAATGCTCCCTCACTCTTTCCCCACGTCCCCTTTCCTGTCCACTGTCTGCATCAGTCACCAGTGGAGCTGAGTGGCCTTGCCTCCTACCCCATGTTCTGGCTTCACTCACCAGGAGCCCCACATTTGGTCCATAGTCCATCACGTATGTCCTCAAATGCCAGGGATCTGGTCCTGATAGGCAGAAAACAATGACAAGTCTCCTCCACCCCTAATCCTGGCTTGCTAGAATTTTCCTGTAAACCTATCCACTCAGGTGTCCCAGGGATGGTGTCTGATTGTGTACAGAAAGAAGGGGTTCATTCATTCATTCATTCATTCAACATATGTCAGTGCTTGTACTGTTATCTGATCCCTCTCTGGATACTGGAGCTGCTGAGAAGAGGGAGGTATTTGCCCTCAAAAAGCTTGCAGGCTCTTGGGGCAGATTAATGAATAAAGAAGGTGAAAACCATTCTAGTCAGAGCTGATACTTTCGAAATGCTCTCTCTCTGTATTGGACAGTGATGGTAAGGTAGCTTGGTTAGACCTCTATGTTGGGAAACACAGTGTCTTTTTTGGGAAAGACCGAGGAGCAGCCCTCACTTAGCTGGAAGGTGACTTCTGAGCCAAGTTTTAAAGCTAAGCAAGATTTAGCCAGTTGGAGAAGGAGAAGGAACACTGGCCCCAGTAAACCTAACAGCATGGACAAAGACTTGACACTGACTTAGATTGGTTACTGCCCAAAGAAGCCATGGATTTTGAGACCTCCTTTGTGTATTTTTTGTGGGAGGTGGATTTGTCACAAAATAGTGAGAAAAGAAAACTCACTCTTCTTCCCTAGCTGGAAGGGAAGCACCAACTCTAGAGGAGGATGACTTTGGATTAAATCAGCTTTGCCTTTGACAAGGTGTGTGGCCTTGGGCAAGTCACTTCACCTCTCTTAGCCTTTGTTGCCTCATCTTCCCCCAAGATCCATACACTGCGCCACTCAGAAAAAAACAAAAACAGAATTTAATGAGTTGGTGTACATAATGGTTCAATACAGGGTTTCTCAACACTATTGACATTTTGGCCTGGATGATTCTCTGTTGTGAGAGGCTGTCCTGTGCATTGTAGGATGGTTAGCGACATCCCTGGCCTCTACCCACGAGAAGCCAGTAGCATCTCTCACTCAATCTGTGACAATTAAAATATCTCCAGATATTGCCAATGTCCTGTGGGGGTGTGTGGCAAAGTCACCTTAAGTTGAGAATCACCAGCCTAATAAAGTGCCTGGTATGTAGTAGTGGCTCAGTAAATGTTTATTTCTTTTCCCCTTCAAGTCTGGAGGGAGCACTAATTCTTATCCTGTTGGGGCAGGGCCTTTAGTGACCACCTTGCAAGTAGGGAAATGGCTTAGAGAGAAGTTAGCAGCCTAATGTCACACAGCATGTTATTGGCAGAATGAGTTAAATAGAGAAAAGAAGCCTTGACAAGGAGACCCCAAAACACACTGGTTCAAATAAGCTAGCTCATTCCTTTACTGTCCCAGGGCCCAGAGATGGGTGGTCAGGGGCTGATGGAGCAGCTCTGCTATCTTCAGTTCAGGGCTTCCACCTCTAGATCTCAGGCAGGTGTTCCACCTGCTTCTGTTTCTAACTTGAGACAAGAGAGCTCAGGAGGAAGTGGACAGAATGTCCCCTTCTCCTGTTTTTAAGTAAGCGCAATGCCCAGTGTGAGGCCTGAACTCACAACCCCAAGATGAAGAGTCGCAGGCTCTATAGACTGAGCCGGTGAGGTGCCTTTTTCTTTTAAAGTGCAAAGTAGAATTTGCTGCCTCTCTTCTGCTGATTTGCCATTGGCCAGATCTTAGTCACATGGCTACTGCAAGGGAAGCTGGGAACTGTAGTCTCTGGCTGGGGGGCCATGTGCCCAGCTAAAACCTGGTGGGGAAGAGAAGAATGATCTCTGGGGGACCATTGGCCTTCTTGCCATAAACACAGGGTGAAAACCCAAGATCTCCGGGGACTGTGGTTCTCTCTACCACATCAGGGCTTTCATCAATCAACAAACACGGGGGTATGGTTATAACAGCACTTTCAGCTATAGAGGGGACGCTCATCGCGCTCACTAGCAGTCAGGCCCCAGTTGAACGAACGCCTCCCACCCTCACAACAGCTCAGCAAGGGAGGCTTGTTTTGCTAATTCCATTTGACAGATAAGAAAACTGAGATTCCCAGAGACTAAGGAACCAGCTCATGATTTTAGGGCTGGAGAGTGGCAGGGGCTGTGTAGTGCTTAGATGTGCCTCCCGGGTCCCCAACCCCATCCCCCCTCACCCTGTGCCCAGCAGCCCCTCCCCCACAACCTGAACTGAGGTCTTCACAGGATTGCTCAGGAGAGCTGGCCCACGGCCCCTCCAGGCCACCCCAAGGGCTCAAGGGTCCCCTGAGGTGAGGCAGCCTTCTTCAGAAGGAAGGTCTTTATAGAAGGGGTGGCAACCTCCTCCCTGTAGGACAAAGGGGAGACTGGGCCCTGCCTAAAGGGAGGAAGAACAGCCTGGAGAGGTTCTCATCTGTTCTCAGCAGAGGAAAAGCAGTGTCTGCTGGGGGCCGGAGAGGCAAAATATGTGGGCGACGGCATGTCACCTCTCTGAGCAAAGGCTCTCATAGTTATGTGTTCAAATCCTGACTTTGCCACTTGCTCACTGTGTGACCTTGATAAGTCACTTTGCCTCTATGAGCCTTAGTTTCCTCATCTGGTAAATAGGGACAAGCATAGGAATTGGTGAGGTCATGTGTGCCTGTAAAGGCAGCTCTCCATGATGGTGGTGGTATTAACATAAGCAGAGTGGTGCTGTCTTGACCATGGCCTGGCACAACCTGGGGTGAGCTGAGTTCTAGGGTATGGATGGAGGGGCATTGGCCAGAGAGAGGAGGTGGTCTCCGTGGGATAGTTGAGCACCCTCAAGGCACTTGGCTTCACCAGGCAGGCAGGGCCTTCAATGCAGCTCGGCAGGTGGGCGTACAGGCTCTCAGGGCTGGTGATAGGAGTTGGAGTGAGCTCTGCGTCTAGAGACTAAGAGTCTGCTTGCAGGTGCTGCTTAAATGGATCTCCGTTTCATTGGAACCCTAGCCCTTCAGAGGGACGGGCTGGGATGCAGCCTAGGGCCTTGACCCTATGTTCCTCTGCACTATACTCCTGAGCCCACAGACCAGGTGTTCCCCATTTTCCACAAGGCCTCTCAGAGTAAAGGGGAAGGGAGAAGAGCACTGAGTGGGGTTACCCAAAATGTGACTGTCCTGTTCTCACTGCCTGCCCGGCCCAGAGTAGACACTCACTAAATGCCTGCTGGGCACATGAATGGGTCTGCCCCTGCCATCGACTGTATGTGACCCTGGGTGGTCTCTTGCCTTCTCTGTGCATTGGTGTCCCCATTTGTAAAACAAGCTGGATAGTTCCGATGTCCCTTCCAGCTCCCACCCTGGTCTCTACCGCCCTAATTGCCTGACCCCCTCATCCCAATGGAGGGAATAAAATGTGCCACACAGGAGGGTGCAGAAATGGTTTTTTATTGCAGGGAATGGAGGGTGGTGAGCACAGAGGCTGCCGTTCCTACTGTGAGGAGGAGTATCTGGGAGGGCTTCTGGCTGAGCTCAGGCTGTCACTCTGGTTGGAAGGTGGCTGCACCTGCCCGGATGGAAATGCTATAAGGGACACCATTGAGCCACTGGAACCGATCTGGAATGAGACCACAAGGGATTGTTGTGGATACCTGCCAGCCACCAGGCACTGCTGCCTGAACTCTTTTCTGCAATATCCTGCAGAGTCTAAGGCCTTGGAGAAGGGGCTGGCACTGTGGTTTGGGGTGTGTCTCTGGCACCTGGCACTGACCTATCCTCCTCCCCATATTCTCCTTAAGGATCCATTATGAACAATGGCAGATGTGAAAAGACTGATCAGAGGCCAAGACAGGAGCCAGGGTTCAGGGCTCAGTATCATGGGTCAGGGTCAGGATCATGGTCTGAGATCAAGGTCATGGCTCGGTCTGCGACCAGTGTTCTTGCTCAGTAAATAACTGAGGTCAAAGCTCAGTTTGTAAGCAGTATCTAGGCTCATAGTCTGAGTGAGTGAATAAGGCTTAGGGTACAGAGTATGACCAGGATCAGACCAGAGTCACAGTTCAGTCTATGACCAAGATGAGGGGGCTCAGCCTGCTGCTGAAAAGGAAAGAGAAGCCAAGCGTGGAGGGGCCTCAACCTCTTATGGAGTACAGAGCCACCCCTTACCTTCAGGTGGGCCTCACCAGCAGTCCTCCTCATCTCCCTCTTCAGGCAGCATTAGGCACGTGGTCTTCCTTCTGAAATTTATCTGAAGGAACAAAATGAATAGCAGGTCTCGGTCTCCAGTAGAAACCAGATCCCAGTGGCTGCCACTCTCCAGTGGGTCAGTCTGACAGGCATGGGACCTCGGGAATGTCAGCCCACATCTCTGAGCCTCAGTTTGTTCATCTGTAAAATGGATATAATGACAATCCCCAGGCCACAGTGTCGTCACAAGGATCCTATGGGATGGTGTATACAAAGCTGGAGTAGAGTGATGGCCCAAGAAACCGACCTGTGGCTCTTTCCGTAGAAGGGCCGCCTCCAGGACCCTGACACCTTCATTTACTCCACTTCCATTGCTCCAGCATCCCCAGCAACCTCAGCCTTGCCTAGAGACCCAAAGGCCAAAGAAAGTCCCCACCATGGCTGGAGGAGGAACCATAGTTTTTCGTAAAGAGGGAAAGGGAAGGGCAGGTGTTTACTAGTAATGCCTACTGGATATTAGACTCTATGCTCCTTCTTTGAATCCACTCATCACCTTCCTGTGTTTAAAATCTTGGTTCACCCAGAAGGAAACAGGCTCAGAGAGGCGGAGCCACTTGAACAAGGCCCCCCAGTTGCTAAATAGCAAAGCCAGGATTTGAACCCAGATCTGGCTCATCTTCTTTCTCACATCATTCTGCCAGGCAGATTCTGTGGGTTTAAAGAGCGGTGATGGTAGAGAGCTCACAGAGGCCCAGAACACCCTCAGTTTGGCCACATTCTCCCAGCTTGCTCAGATGCTGGGTCTTCCTGCTTCTCCAGAGCCCCCTGACCACCCCTGCTGTGGGTGGGCACAGGGCTCATGCTTGGTCTTGGGAGGCTGCAGAGGGAAAGCCCCTTTCCTACCCCGGTCCCCAGGCTGTGATTTACCAATGATGTCCTGAATAATATTCCCATCCAGGTTGGAGAGTAAGGTGTGGATCAGTGGGCACACCTGGGGGGAGGGAGAGAGAGAGAGAGAGAGAGAGAGAGAATGAGTGAGGGAGGGAAGGAGAGGAGGGCCAGGAGCAGGAAGGAGGACAGATCATTATCAGCTGGGATCAAACTGCCAGCCACCTACCAAGATCTCAGAACAATAGAAATCTAGAAGCCCAAAACTAGAGAACCATAGGAGGCCAGAATTCTAAATCCTTAGAACATTGGAATCCTAGAACCTTGAGAATCTAGAGTGTTAACATCTCAGAAACCTACACTCTTAGAAACCTTGAACTTTGGAACCCTGGAATTTTAAGGAATCAAAGGGGGCCCTGGGAACCATAGAGCAGAGTTTCTCACACTGTGTGTGTACAATTCCCTGAGGATTTCATTAAAATGCAAATTCTGATTCAGCAGGTCTGGGGGTGGGTAGGAGGGCGCAGCACAGAGTGGCTGCATTTCTAACCAGCTCCCGGGTGAGGCACCCTTGCTACTGGTCAGAGGACCATATTTTGAGTAGTGAAACTCCTCCAGTTCAATGAATGACAGAACCACCTAGAGGGTTTTTCTTTCATAAATCCAGATTCTCAGCCCCCTTCCAGAATGACTGATTCAGAATCTCTGGAACTTTGGACACATAGTACATATGGTTTTGTATGATGCACAGATGAAAATACCGATTTTATAGGTCTCTATATTTTTTAAATTAATTACATAAGTGATATTAATTTCTAATTATGGTAGAGATACAGTTTTCTTTTTAAAATTAATGTTTTTAAATAAGTTTAAGTAAAATCATGTTGTTTAAAGGAGGAACGCATTAGCTAAAAAGGCATATTGCGGGCAGGTAGATATGGTGAATGGACCAAGCTTGGGACCCAGTGATTTCAGCTCACGTCAGCCGCCCCCCCACCCCCCCCACCCCCCGCTCCTCTCTCCTTCTCCACAGGCTGAGTAAAGGGGCACAGGTTCTAGCTGACAGCCCAATAAGAAGTTTGCACCCCAGAAGAAAAGGTGCCAGAGTACAATTAGGGCATACCTGTGAATGGCATACCTGCCTCCCTTTCCTCCCCCTCACCCCCAGGCATGTCTCGGGGCCCCAAGGAGAGGGGAACTCACATCCTTCTCTATCAGGCGGGACAGGGTCTTTGTCAGGAAGCTGCTCACGGTGTTCGCGGCCTTCTCGATCAGACCATTGTGGCTGGAAAAGACAGGCAACTGATAAAGCCCAGTTAAGGGGGCAGAGCTGCCACACAGTGGGGTCGGGAGAGGGTAGGAGATGGTGGACCACCTTGAAATGAGGCAAACCCAGGGGTAGTGCAGTGACTTTCTAACCACAGGCAGAGCCTCTATTCAGGGCACCACACTTCTGTCCAGAGGCTCACTTCAACTTTAAGACCCCACTTTCATTTGACACATCCACAGATCACTGCCTGCATGCCAGGCATCGAGCTATGCTGAGGACATGGGGATGAGCAAAGCCCAAGCAGCTCCTAACCTGGTGCCTAAACATGAAACAAGTCTTGCTATGGCTGGCTCCTTCGCTTCAGCTCCCAGCATGACTGGCACCTCCTCAGGGCAGCCCTCCCTGTCTGCTTGCCTAAGAGAGGGCTTTCTACCATTCGGTCCTGTTACGTGCACTGCTCTGCTGAGGGCTCATTGTAACCTGACATTTTCCTTGAGGGCTCTTTACTGCTGGACTGGACGCTTGTCTGTTTACCTTTTCCTCAGGACAATAAACTCCAGGAAAACAAGGAAAACTCCTTGTCTGTTGTCACCAATAAATTCTCCAGAGCTCAGAGCCTATCTGGTACATAACAGATGCTCAAGCATTTTTGGCTGAAAGACTGAAGTAAACATAGAATTAAATATAGAATAATGGGCACCTGGGTGGCTCAGTTGGTTAAACATCTGCCTTCGGCTCAGGTCACGATTCCAGGGTCCTGGGATCAGTCCCGCATTGGGCTCCCTGCTCAGCAGGAAGTCTGCTTCTCCTTCTCCCTCTACCCCTCCCCGCCCCTCATTCTCTTTCTCTCAAATAAATAAATAAAATCTTTGAAAAAAAAATAGAATGACAGCTTGTGACAAGTACTCTGCAGGGCAAGAGTAGATTATTTTGAGGGAGAACCTGAAAGTTGAGAAGTAACTGCAGGTGGAGGGGAAAAGGTTTTTCTAGAAGGTCAGATCAACGTGGGCACAGGTCTAGAGGTGAGAAAGAGCTTGTTGGAGACCTGGAGCAGAGGCCAGTGTGTCTGGAGTAGAGTGAGCAAGTCCGGAGTCAGATCCGACTGAGCTCAGACAGTCATGGGGAGTGCTTGGCGTGAGCGGGCGTGGAGCAGCAGAGAGGGGTGCCATTTCACAGATGTGGACACTGAGACACAGAGCAGGAGGAGGAATTCCCTGGGACTGCAGACAAGGCAGGATCCAGCAGGGCTCAGCGCTATCAGTTTGCACCCCAGCCTTCCCAAATAACATCAGGTAGTGGAGTTTTTCTTCGGTTTGGGGGGATCCTTGCAAACTGTGATCAAATCCTTTGAAGGGGTCGGGTGGAATGACCTCTGCTCAAGGCCCTCAGGGCTGAGAGCACAGACCCCAGCCTTGTTTGCCTCAACGCTAACCTGCCCCAGCCTTCAACTTCCAGATAATTCTCCTCCAACAGCCACCAAGCCCTTCCTCCCTCGACCCTCTTCCTTCACCAGATCTGCTCTTTCAAGCATACAGGTTAAGAAGTAGCTTTTGTGGATTAACAGGGATCAGTGATTTAAATGGAGAGGATTCAGTTTTCAAGATCTCATTTCAGGAACTTTCCAATGAATGGAGGACTCTCTGGGGACAATCTGAAATTAGATCCCATTTACTTCTCTTCCCTCTCCCACATGGAGGCAGGAAGGAAAATACAATTTATTATATTATTATTATTATTATTATTATTATTATTGAAAGGTATAATAATAAAGGGGTCACTTTTTCAAGAAGAAGTAAGAATCCTAAATGTGCATGCACCTAACAACAGAGCTTCTAACAGCAGGAATCAGAATTCTGACAACTGCAAAGTGATCAGAGGCCAACACTCCTGTCTCAGGAATGGAAAGAACAAGAAGACAGTCAGCATGGATATTATCATCACTGAGGGTTTAATGTGTGCCAGGCTGTGTGCTAAGCACTCATATTTTCTCATATGGTCAACAACCAATGAGGAGGCATTATTGTCACTTTCAGTTTACAGATGAGTAAACTGAGACTCAGAGGGGCTAACTTGGTCACAAAGTGGTAAGTCAGCATCGAGTTGATATTTGAACCAGGGTCTGTCTGACTCCAGAGCCTAAACTCTTTCTTGCCACATGGTGCCACCTCGTGGGTATAGGAATAGGGCTGAAGCTAGGGGTCCTCAACTCCTCTGAGAGCCCAGCTCTGCTGAGATGGATGGGCCTTACCCGTCCAGCACGGTGAGTGAGATGCTGTCCTCATCACTGCTGCATTTTCCCACGATCACTGTGACAGCGCCAGTCTGGGCATCAGTTGCAAGTCTGACGCTAGTCACAAGGTCCAAAGAGACCTTCAGGTTGACCACCCGGCCAATGAGAGGCCTGGAGGAAATAAGATTCCCAGTGAACAGAGGTCTAGAAGGCCCACTGGGGTTCTTCCACCAGTGGGAATATTTACTCTCCAAGATGTCTATGCATAATTTCAGCACCGTCTATATTCCTAATGCGTTTAACATTTACATTAAGGGCTTCTTCACCTGGCCACATAGATTTGGTTCATATGACAGTTTTATATAGCACCACTCTAATAATGAAAATAATAATAATAGTTAACATTTATTGGGGGCAAATTATATGCTAGGCATTTTAAAAAAAGATTTATTCATGAGAGACACATAGAGAGAGGCAGAGACATAGGCAGAGGGAGAAGCAGGCTCCCTGTGGGGAACCTGATGCCGGACTCAATCCCAGGACTCTAGGATCATGACCTGAGCCAAAGGCAGACGTTCAACCACTGAGCCACCCAAGTGCTCCTATGTTAGGCATTTCTAAGAAGCAGTTTTTGGGGGTGCTTGGGGGTCCAGTAGGTTAAGCATTTGACTTGCTTTTGGCTCAGGTCATGATTTCAGGGTCCTGAGATTGAGCCTCACGTCAGGCTCCTTGCTCAGTGAGGACTCTGCTTAAGATTCTCTCTCCCTCTTCCTCTGATCCTCCCCCTCCTCTCTCTTTGTCTCTCTAAAAATAAATAAATCTTTAAAAAAACATATTTTTTCCTGGATTAATTCATTTAATCATTACAGTGATACCATGAGGTAAAATTACTATTATTATCTTTATTTTCAAAATGGGGAAACTGATACAGAGAGGTTAAGTAACCATCCTGAGATCTCATGGCTAATGAATGATGGAATCTCCGTGTCTTCAATTTGTCTTCTTCCATATATGCTCATTTTTCCTATCTCTCTCTTTTAAAATAATTAAAATAATTTAAAATCATAATTTCCTACATGTCCTTCACTATATACTGCACACTACTATGTGTGTTTAGCCATAATGGTCGCTGCTTTATTCAAGAGAATCTCAAGAGACAAAATAATGCTGGTGGAAATTTTGCCAAAGAGTTATAAATGCTCATGCCTTCTCAGTTTTTTTCAAATTTTACAATTAGATAAATGTTATGATTTCAGAAATATTTAACGGGGGATTGTTTTAAAAGAGACTTTGTTCTGGCCAAAGTTCATTAGAACATTTACTTCAGATTTTAGAGCTGGAAAGTCCACTTCATTTACAAATTAGGAGACTGAGGCCCAACGCCACATAGTAGCATGGAGAAGTGCCTGACTCCAGTTTGGAGATCCATTGGCCATGGTGCACTCCCTCTCCCAAATCCCAGACCCTAATGCATACTCACAGGGCCAGGGTGACATTGGCAACAACGGGGATCCTTATGTTAAGGCCTTCACCATCAAGAGTCAGTTCAGCTTTGATTTTCAGGATGCGGGAGTTAATGATGTTCAACCTGTGCAAAGACCACAATTTCCCTTTGTTATTCCACATGACAGCCATGTGCTGAACACCTCTCTACACCAGCACCATGCTGAACATTTGGGCCTCACCAACCTTACCTTCTCTGGCCTTCACAATAGCCCTGTTCAGAGGTTTGGTCCTCTCCATGTTATGACATGGCATACTGAGGCTCAGGCAGATGTAATTTCCCACAAAGGTTCCAGGGAGGGATAAGTGTCAGAGTTGAATTTGAACCCAGAACTGTTTGACTCCAAAACCCCATGTGTAGAGTCAGCTATGTGGTATGAACTCCAGTTTTCTCTCTCCTGAGGAGATTCTGACTTTTATCTTCAGCTATATTTGGTGAAGAAAGTCATGCTCCCTGGAAAAGGGACCTCAGGCACCAGCAAACAGGTGGAGGTAAGGATTAAGAGGATCCTTGCCCTGATCCTAAAATTATGCAACATGTAAGCCTAAATCCATGAGATGCCCAGATTGGCCCTGCAGTCCTGCTTCTAATTTTCTCAAGCTCTGATGAACTTAGCCTCAGACCACCTTGATTCTGTGGGGAGGAACAAGGTTTAGCTACCTTTCTGTCTTTGACCTTAAACTCACCTCCCCAAAGATGGGTGTTCCCTTTTCTTGGAGCAAAGATCTCCACCCTGAAACATCAACTTACCCCAAAGTGTCATCCTTAGCTGGAACAATCTTAGAAAGAGCATCATTCACCAAGTTCTTCACTTCCTGCACCTTTTCCTCAGCCAGATGCCAAGCCTTGGATTTCTGAATTATCTTCCAGTCAGCCTTCAGTTTTTGAAGAACAGCTAACAAAAACGATGGTCATTTAGTGTCATGCATCACTTATGGAGCAGTGACTATGCACCAGGCACTAGGTAAGACTATTTGCCTGTTATTTCATTTACTCTTCATAACTACCCAAATGAGATAGATATTGTTATTATCTGCATTTTTAAATGAGGAGATAAAGGATCAAAAGGTTAAGAAATGTGCCAAAGGGGACGCCTGGGTGGCTCAGTGGTTGAGTGTCTGCTCAGGGCATGATCCCAGTCCCAGGATTGAGTCCCACATCAGGCTACCTGCATAGAGCCTGCTTCTCCCTCTGCCTAGGTCTCTGCCTCTCTCTCTATGTCTCTCATGAATAAATAAAATCTTAAAAAAAGGGAAATGTGCCTAAAGTCATGAGTCTGGAGAGCCCTTGTTCCTTCCATGCTGCCTTCATACTAATATATTCTCATCACTCGTAAACAAAGCTATCACTCAACTAACCAGGCAATTGATGTTGATTGTACAGCAGCTTCTAGTGGTGACTTGAGAAGAGGTCTATTGCTCTGATGAGATGTTCACACGAGTTTAAAAAACTAGGTCAAACAAAATGAGAGAATAAACTAAGAAATGGAAAATCTAGAATCAAGGAAAAAGTATGGCTCCAACTCAAAAGTGGCAAATAGGAGTCCCAGAATGACAGCTTTGCAGTAGGCTCAGATAGCAATAATTCATACAGGAACAGGAAAACAAAGTGTTCTAATGGGAGGGCTATAGAGAAAAGAGGGATTAGATAGTCATAGCAGATGTAGAATGGTGCATATAAAAAGAATTAAGGCTATGCAATAGGAAATAAATCAAGTGAGAAACAAGGCAATTATTAATCCAAGGAAAAACAAAAAGGTATACAAGAGAAGCCATGTAATTATAGTTCTGCAACTTGGCTCTGCAATGGACAGTATCTACCTAGTTATGATGGTGCAAGTGGAGACTACCAATTTCAATAAAAGTATATTTGGTCCTATAATTCACTAGGTGACTTTGATCCAGACACTTCTGTTTCTGAACTCAGTTTTCCCAGCAGTGAAATTAGAGAGTGGATCCTTTCTATATCTTTGAAGGTTGCTTAAGCCCTGACAAGGTTTGAATGGTAGCCATTTATAGCATTTACTTCCTCCTATAAAGAATGTTTGTCAGTGTGCTGTTTTTTTTAAACTTTTTAAAAAATTTTTATTTATTTATGATAGTCACACAGAGAGGGGGGGGGCAGAGACACAGGCTGAGGGAGAAGCAGGCTCCAGGCACCGGGAGCCCGATGTGGGATTTGATCCTGAGTCTCCAGGATCGCGCCCTGGGCCAAAGGCAGGCGCTAAACTGCTGCGCCACCCAGAGATCCCTGTCAGTGTGCTGTTAATGTTTCAAGAAAATGAAAAGAAAACCAAAGAAATCAGAATAAAAAAGAGACATGATTAAATATAAAGCTAGGTAGCTGTAAGGCTACTAGACTGAGGTATGGCTAATTTTCAATGAATTAATACAAATCAATAAGAAAATTGAACAACCTAGCAGAAGAATATTCTATAAATATGAACAAAATATTTATGCCAAAATATGTAAATAGTTAATAAAATATGAAAAAAATGAGTGAATTCTTTCATAACTGGAGAAATGCAAAGTGAAATGAGTTACAATCTTTTATCTATGGAATTACCAAAACATTTAAGTTGCCCATACAAGTGCTGTCAAGGAAGTAAAAAAGAAGGCACTCTTCCAAGACTTCTGGAGAGAATGTTAATGTAGGGGATTTGTCAACATCTCCTATAATTTAAAATGTGCATACCTTTAGAACTTTTTAGGAATTTATCCTATGCACATATTAGGAAAATTTGCCATAATATAATGTGTAAAAGGATATTCATTTCAGCATTGCTTGTTCCTAGAAAAATAATGAATGAATGAAGCAGGAACTGAATAGCCACCTTTTTTTTTTCAGTAAACCACCCTTAAACAGCAACCCCTGGTGGCAGCCTCTGGTAATGCAGGCATAGCATTCAGGAGGCAAGCTCCTAGGTGCCACTGATCATCCCTCTTGTTTACTCACATTCAAGTGTATTGTCAACGGTCTCAAGTCCTTTCTCAACGACAGGTTTCAGTTTGTCCACAACATTATTCAGGTCGTCACCAAGATTTCCAAGGACAGACGCTGAGGTCCCAGTGAGCAGGCCGCATAAGAGAACAAGTTTCCAAAGCTGAAGCATCTTGTCTTGACACCTGGACAGTCATAGGAGGAACAGGAGTGAGAATTACCCAGAGAGAAAAGAAATCTTTGATAAGCACCTATCATTCTTACACTTTACATTCCTTTAAGATAGATATGGCTAACTGCTTTTACAGATGAACAACTCAGGTCAGAAAGCTAGAGAAACTTGCCCAGAGGCACACAGCCAGTGAGTAGAAGAGCTGAATTTTGAAAAGTCACAGTTATCTCCAAGTCTATGCTCTTCACAAGAAGGTCCTTTACATATGCTGGCTCCTCTGCCTGGAACATCTTTCCTCGTCTCTGCAATTTTGCCTAAGTCATTTCCTACTGACTCTCCAGCTTCAGGAATACGTCATGCCTTCTGTGAAGCTCACTCTGGGCCCCTTCTCTTCCCAAAGTTGAGGTTAGGGTGTCCCACCACACCATCCTACTGTCTTTGTCTTCTTTTCAGAGTTCTAGGTGTCAGTTAGTGATGACTTGTCTGCCTTTCCCACCAGGCTGTGAACTCCTTAGGAGAAGGACTACAACTTACTTTACTGTAGACTCTCCAGCCCCCAGTAAAAACCTGGATCTAGGAAGTACAATAAATAAATATTTGCTGAATAAAAGTATGGGCAAATAAATGGGCACCATGTCATGACCCTACGTTGTTCATCAGTTTGACACTTCTCCTAACATATCTCTTAATATGCTATATTCAAAATATTCGTGAATCCAAGTGGCCCCATCCTTCTGCCTCTTGCTCCCAAAATATTCTGAAGATCTCCATGTGGAGTGCCATTGGAGGGCAGGGGGAAGCCCATCACTCACAGGTTTGGAGGAGGATGTTCGTAAATCCTTGCTCCTCTGCACGGTCTCCTGGGATTCTGCTAGGTGTTGGTGGCCTTTATATGGTGGTGACAGGATGGGAGGCTACACAGAGAAGCAAGTGCTGGTTCCAGGGCCATCCAGAGAGATTCCAAAGAAAATAACCCTGTCCAGGATGAGCAGATAGATTTCCGACCCAAAGGTCACCTAGGATGCTTGAGCTGAAATGGATGGACGTGCAGAGGCCTTTCTGCCAAGACTAAGACTAGGTTCTCATGGAGCCTCCAGAGGCCAATACAGCAACCATCATGAGTGGGAGTTGGGGTGATGATGGAGTACGGATGAATAGGAGAATGATCTGGTGGGAGGACCCATAGTGATCATGCAGCTAATTCTGTCCTCACTTGGGAACTGAGGCACAGAGAGGGGAAGCAACCAGTTTGAGGTCACCCAGTAAGAGAAGTTCAGTGGTGGACCTCACAGTCAGGGTCAGTGACCAGGGAGGTCACTGTGTCCAACCCTCCTCTGGTGTCTGAGGGTGGAGCCAGCCTCAGTGTGAATGTTTGTGATGACGGAGAGCCCACTATCCCCCAAAGCCTGCCTGCTCCATCTAGTTGGTCAGGAGTTCCTCCTCAGAGTGAACAAAATCTGCCCCCACATTACCCCCATATATGTGGGCAACAGCGAGGCCTGGGAAAGTTAAGAGCCTTACCTGAGGCTGCACAGCCAGTGTCAGGAGATACATACCACCAGGTCTCCCTCTGCCCATTTGCCACCATTTGCTTCACTCTCAACACAGCTGCCAGAGAGGTGTCACTCGCAGAGTCCTCACCATGGCCCATGGAGCCTGTGGCATCTGCTCTCTGCCTTTCAAAACTCACCTCTTAGCTCTCTCTCCCCAGCCCCTACTGCTCTTCCTTCTGTTCCAGAAAGATGCCAACCTCTTTCCTGCCTTGGGCCCTTGCATAGGCTGTGCTCTCAGCCATGAGCTCTTCTCCCCATCTGTTCCCAGCCCTAGATGCCACCTCCTCAGAAGCTCCCTAACTATCTAACTGAGGTGGCCAGACTCTCTGAACTAGCCCACCCTCAGCGACTTGTTGGCTTTTTTCATCACAAATCATCACAATTGGATTTTTTTTGTTTTAGTTGGTTCCCTGCCCCCAGTAAATTGTTAACACTCTGTGCTCTGGGCACTTCCTGTCACATAGGTCCCTAAGACCTTAATCTATCCTTAGAATATTTCAAGCCTCTCCTTGGAGCACCTCGTAGAGCAGCTGCCACTTGAGCAGGTGGTGAGGTCCCCAGCACCAGAGACGCTCAGAAATTGGACTAGGTGACTGCTGAGGTTCCGTGTGGTTTCACGTAGCTGGAGCCATGATTCTAGATTTCCTTGGCCTAGTGCTTAAAGAGCGATGTTGTAAATTTTTATGATTCTTTCCCTCAGGTTCCCTTTCTGCCTGGATCTGGCTGCCTTGCAGGGATGTGGTTCCCTCAGGCTTCCCACTTCTTTCCTTTTCACACCCGCCCCCCACCCCCAGAGACCCCACCCTTTCCCTGCTGTGGCCTCCTGGAGCCACCGTGGCTGTGCAGGGCCCTACCTCAGCATGGAGCGCATCAGGGCAAAGCCAGCCTCTCCCCCTGGCATAGCTGCCTCTCATGGCTGAGCTCTGAGGTGATGCTGACTAGAAGCTCCCGTGCCCCCGTGGGGGCCTTGGGTAGCACAGAGGCAGATGAGTGAGTAGTGGGCCCTGTCCTCCCCTGAGCAGCTCAAAGGTCCTGCTGCCTAAGGAGCCGTACTCTCCCAGTCACTCCTCTGCCGCTTCATTGGCTCTGATCTCACAAAGATAGGACCTTCCACCACAGCCTCAAGGGCCCCCTTTTGCTGAAACATTTGGGGGATCCCCCAAGCCTGGTGTACACCAGGCTAAATTTGCCAAAGTGGGGAGAAACCAGGCCCCCTTCTTCCTGAGGCTCTCCAGATCCTGCTTCCAACAGTGGTGTGGAATACTTGAACAAGTCCACATACACACGTGTATAGACACACACACACACACATACATGCATGCATACATGTGTATGTGCCCGTCAAGAGCAAGATGGCACAAGCAAGACTCCTATGAAGAAAACAATGGTTCCTTGCCTGCAATGAGAACTTACAGAAGCCCGGAGATCAGTGTTAACCACCGTTTTGCATGAAAGAGCTCACTTCCCACAAAGGGGGATTCGTTTCCACAGATAGCCTGGGTCTGTTTTCTTCCTTAAATACTTTAGACACAATGATCTGGCAAGGCCCACTGGAGAATGAAGCCAATACTAAGGAAATGAGAAAATATGTCATTTGAGCACCTAGATCCAACCGTGCCTGAAGTCATCTATGTCCCTGGACTTTTGAGTTCAAATGAATTTCTTTTTCCTTTTTTTTTTTTTTTTTTGTTTAAGCCCATGAATGGCACTCTTGCCACTCACAGCCACAACAGTCCCCAGTCAGGCACTCATCGCTCACACTGGCCTCCTCCCTTCCGATGGCAGCTTGAGGCTCACATACTATCCTTGAAACATTGCAGAGCCTGAAGCCAGAGGGAGCTTAGGGTGCAGAAGTTTAACCTCCTCACTGGGAAGTCTGGGGAGCCTGGCGCCCAGAAAAGGAGGAGGACTCGTCCAAGTTTGCACAGTGACCTTGGACCCTGCTTCTCTTCCTCTTTTATTGAATATCTTTCAGTTTTGTTGGAATTTTTGATTTTGGGCAATAGCCTTACTAAAAAGATGAAACAAAAGGACTTAGGAAGTATGTTTACCCTCCAGGCCCTTGAGTCTCATCCCTAGCTCATTCGCCCCAGGGTGGTCTGTGTCCTGGCTACCTGGTGGGGCTGGTGGTTGACCAGAAACACAAACCACTGGACTGGGTGACCCAGTGGTGCCCTGTGCCTTGTACCTTGAGTCCTGTGAGCTGTGGCCCCCACCCCAACCTCCGAGAGCCCCAGCTGAGCCTAGACACGACCCTCTCAACCCTGCAGCTCAGATGCACAGCACTCCACAGTGTAGCCTGATGGTCCTACGGGAGCTGAGAGCCCTAGAGCAGACTGGTGATAATAACAACTACCACTGATCTGGCATCTGCTCTTTCTAGGTGATTCTACTTCATCTCGTCTCAGCCCCTCAGCAACCTTGTGTCACTTGCCCTGGGTTTCAGATGAGGGACGTGGGGCTCAGAGGGGAAGGACCACTTGCTCAAAGCCAGGCTGCGGACAGGAAAGGGCAGGGCTGGGAAGCAGTCACCCCAAGTCTGTGTCCTGGTCGGCAGAGGGGCCGTGCCTGGGGAAGGTGCCTGGGGTACCCCGTAGCTGCTGTGTGCCTGGCACTGCGCTCGATGCTTTAGGGGCACTTTCACCAGGTGATCCTCATGACAACTCCCCTAAGGAGCCTTGGAGAGCCCCCTTACCAGTGGAGGAGACTGAGGCTCCGAGAGCAGGGATGGCTTGGCCAGGCCTTACACAAACAGGAACTGGGTGTTTGGGTCCCAGAGAAGGTGCTTCCACCACCCCTGTCACACTGAGGCCAGCTGGCGGGGCAGGAGAGTGAGTTTGAACATCCTGTTTATCCCTCCGAATGTGCTGTTTGAGTTGGTTGTAACGCCTGGTGCCTTGGGCCCGTGTCAACTGGAACAAGCCACAGGAAACTCCAATGTGCCCACTTGGCATCAGGCTGGGGAGCCCTAGCCAAGGGCTCAGGAGCATCCTGCGCATGTCTCCTCTGCTCCCTCACGTGCAACCCAGCAAGGACTCGGCAGGCCTGTCCTTCACACGGTCGTGGCTCGAAGGGTGGGAAAAGGCTGGTGGCTTCAGACCTAGCTCTGCTCACACTGCCCATAGCTCCACCATAAGAGCACAGAGCAGGGGGGAGGTGGCAGCCTGGCTCCCCAAGCCTGGGGCTAGGGCCTGGAGAACCCTTCCAGTATAGTATAGTATATACTATACTATAGTATAGTATAGCAGGGTGGCCTTGGACCAGGTCATCAGAGCCCCCTCCTTGGCTGCCTGACAATTAGTTCTGCAAACGTCTAGGCCTTCTTCCTCCCGCCATGGGGCATGGAGCTGACGGCAGTGCTAAAATCTCTGAAGAGAGTTTTTCCTGCCTCAGGAACACAGCCCAGACCTCAGGCCTGGCATTGGTCCTTGGGAATCAGAGGGGTGC